GGGACGTATACAGTATAGCCTTAACAGACACATGCCGTCTGAGTGTGGAAGTGTATTACTACATTCTCTAGTCTGAAGGCTCCATTATGACTACTCTGGCCGTGTTTTGGCTAGTCCGCCCCACCCCTCCCTCTCCTCTCAGACATGCTGCCTTGAGTGTGAGTTAATTTATCTCATTAAGTCTGCATATCTACCATGTCTCTCAGCACCTCTCAGTGTATACATCTAAGCACCAGAGACAGACATGTTCAGACCTCTCTGTCTCAGCTTTGTCTTATTTTCTGTGTGTCTGAGCTTGTTACTCGTATAGGGCTTTGTGTGCAGAGAATGTGCCCATGTTGTTTGCTCATGAGCACATTCATTTGTGCTTCTTATCTGTAGTGCTCTTGTGCAGCTTTATTATTACAGTCTGGGCAGTATTGACTATTAACACATACCGTACATAACGACCTGAACACTTATACAAAGCATTTTATTCACTTAGCCGCACTTATTCAAAGCATTTTTCAAAGACTGAGACGGAGAGGAGCATATGCATCTAAATGGGTGTCCGGTCCCTCTGGGCATTTATGAGCAAATAATGTCTCAAAGAAGATCAGGATTGTTTTGACTCTAGGAATCAACAGCTTCCCATGAATTGAATCCCAGTATTAACCCCCACCCACGCTGCTCTCCTGCTTGTTGCGCTTTCTCTCCCTGGGTGCCGATCCTCCGATGGGTTCTCAGTAGAGATCTCTCGTCTCTCATCTCCAGTTCTCTCCTCCGGTCGGAGTCTCGTCGTCATAGAGTCCGCGTCCTTCCTCTCCTCTCTCTCCTCTCTCTCTCTCTCTCTCTCACCAGCTCACAGTCTCTCTCTCTCTCTCACTCTCTCACACACCACACACACACACACAGCACAAACACACACCCACACACAACACCCACACACACACACACACACACACACACACTCCCCCACCCGTCTTCACAACACACTGATCCTCTGTGTCTTAACCCCTAAACCAGTCCCACCCTGCAGGCATCTACCCCCGCCCTCTGAGCAGGCAGCAAGCAGCCACCACCTCCCTCCAAACTTGTTGCACCACATATCTCTGTCTGTCTCTATTTTACTGTAAAAAATAATTGAAGCTATTTTTCTTTCTCTTTTCCATTTCTCCATCCTCACCCCTGTCTCTCCCCTCTGTCTACGGCCATTATGTCTATGATAAAGTAGATGAACTAGGTAGATGAACTATGTAACCTTACCCAACCGATAAACCACTATGTTACCTCCAGCCTCCCTCCTCCCTGTGTGTCACTCTGTGCACTCAGACTAAATTCTCTCTCCAGGACACCAGTGACCACTCAACAGGCCATAAATCACTCCAACACCACCTCAGCTCAACTCCACTCAATCTGCCTCCCTCCTCATCACTTTCCTCTCTCTCTAAACTGCATGGTCTGGCTCCACTCAAGCCCAATAGGGTTAGTGTGAAGCAGTAGGTCAGAGTTGCAGAGTTCAATTCACACACATCAAGTCACTGATAATATACTGTATGTATACAGTATATATAGTTATAACAGATGTCCTCTGATATCACTTAGACCTTCCTCTTAAACCCAGTGCCCTGTTTGTTGTGAGAGTGGATTGTTGAGCAGCTCCACTGTAAAGAGAATATACACTGCATGGCCAAAAGTATGTGGACACCTGACTGTTGGTCCCCCTTTGCTGCTATAACAGCCTCTACTCTTCTGGGAAGGGTTTCCACTAGATGTTGGAACATTGCTGCGGGGACTTGCTTCGATTCAGCCACAAGAGCATTAGTAAAGGTCAGGCACTGATGTTGGGCGGTTAGGCCTGGCTCGCAGTCGGCATTCCAATTCATCCCAAAGGTGTTCGATGGGGTTGAGGTCGGGGCTCTGTGTAGGCCAGTCAAGTTCTTCCATGCCTATCTTGACAAACCATTTCTATATGGACCTCGCTTTGTGCACGGGGCCATTGTCATGCTGAAACAGGAAAGGCCCTTTCCCAAACTGTTGCCACAAAGTTGGAAGCACAGAATCATCTAGAATGTCAATGTATGCTGTAGCGTTAAGATCCCTTCACTGGAACTAAGGGGCCTAGCCCGAACCATGAAAAACAGCCCCAGACCATTATTCCTTCTCCACCAAACTTTACAGTTGGCACTATGCATTGGGGCAGGTAGCGTTCTCCTGGCATCCGCCAAACCCAGATTAATCCGTCGGACTGCCAGATGGTGAAGCGTGATTCATCACTCCAGAGAACACCTTTCCACTGCTTTAGAGTCCAATGGCAGCGAGCTTTACACCACTCCAGCCGACGCTTTGCAGTGCGCATGGTGATCTTAGGCTTGTGTGCGGCTTCTCGGCCATGAAAACACATTTCATGAAGATCCCGACTAACAGTTCTTGGGCTGACGTTGCTTCCAGAGGCAGTTTGGAACTCGGCAGTGAGTGTTGCAACCGAGGACAGACGATTTTTACACTACGCGCTTCAGCACTTGTGGGTCCCATTCTGTGAGCTTGTGTGGCCTACCACTTCACGGCTGAGCCGTTGTTGCACCTAGACGTTTACACTTCACAATAACAGCACTTACAGTTGACCGAGGCAGCTCTAACAGGGCAGAAATGTTACAAACTGACTTGACGGTGCCATGCTGAAAGTCACTGAGCTCTTCAGTACGGGCCATTCTACTGCCAATGTTTGTCTATGGAGATTGCATGGCTGTGTGCTCGTTTTTATACACTTTTGGCCATGTAGTGTATGCCTGTATGTATACATAGTATATACTGTATTACCTCCTCAAAATAACTTTGGGGAATGGGGGCGTTTTGAGTGGAGCTGCTTTTCTCATATGTCTGCATTGTTGGCATCCCCCCAATAAAAACTGTGTGTTTAGCCTGATAGAGTCATGAATTTTCCTTCTGGAAGGACCTGAGACAGACTGTTTAAATGTGTTATTGATGGCTAAAAGGCCTGTATTGGTTGGGGGAAGCTCTGTTTAAGTTGGCCGGTGGAGGGCAAAAAAGGTGGAGAGGTCCAAAATGATAAAAATACACAGTATGTATGCAGACATTCATCTTCTGTTTATTTTAAACTCACTGCCCCATGGTATATGGATTCTCAGAACCACTTATGGTGCACATTTAAGTCCTTGGAAATTTTATATCACACATAACCATGTGCCTGTGCTGTGGTGCAGTTTTCACATTCATTTTTCTCCATGCATTTCTGTGTTATACTTGTAGCCTATGTGTCTTTGTCAAACACTGTCTTGTAGTGTGCTGTAGTGTAGTGTAGATTAGTGTAGTGTAGTGTAGAGTAGTGTAGTGTGTATTAGGTGCAGCTTGTGTACTAGATCTATTCAGTTGATAGTTAAAAGATTGAACATTGCCTCTGACAAATTAAAGTACCACCCTGTGTAAATGGATTCAGTGTTTTCAGAGCAGGTTGGAATGGGCTTATTTTTCCCTATATCCCTGGTGTAAAGTGGAAAATTTGAATAATTTGTGTAATGGAACCCCAGTAAAGAGCCTGATGTGTGAGGTGTGGACCTGATAGAGAGATGAGGGAGTACAGATGGAGAGATGGTGATGAGGGAAGAGAGTAAGTTGCCAGCGAGGAAGAATTACCGTTTGGATGGAGAGTCGGGGTTGATGTCGGAGTGGTGCGATGACAGAGAGTTGGAAGAATAAAAGGGGAGAGAGGACAGAGGATATGGTTCTAGGTGCTAGACTCACCTGACACTGTGAACGTGGCTAACCTGTGAAATCAATAAGTGGTTTGTGTTTATGGCTAGGATTGGTGTTTGGGTTTCAGAGTGATTACGTTTGCATGTGTGTGTGAGTATGTCTGAAAGAGTTTATACGTGTTTATAGCCAAAGCCACCTCCCCTCTCTTCCTCCTGCCCTATACTCCCAGCTACAGAAATAAACATCACCCACAGACTGACAGACTGCACGCTTTTGTCTGGGACTGAATTCTAGAGTCTCAGGTATGTGATATTTCTATGGTCCTGAACCAAACAGACAGCCATATACTATACCCCATTACAGTGGGTTTTGACCAGAAGTGGCACCTCTTCTTGACAACACTCTGCTTGCAATTTGCATAAAGTAGAGCAGAGCTCAACTTTTTCTACCGCTAGCAGGTTTCTCACCGCTCACCTTCCCACAATCCCCTGCACATTTCTCTGCATGCCCTCATTGAAAATGAAGGGGGGTGGGACTTCTCCTGACGAATTCATTGTTGGTGAAAACCCTACGTTACTCTTTCCCATTCTCTGGTAAGGAGTCCTATACATATACACCCCCTCTCCCTAATCCCTCTCTCTCCCTATTTCGTTCTCTCCCTCTTTCTCTCTCTCCCTCTCTCAGTCACTCTCTCTCTCCCCCTCTCTCCGTCTCTCTCTCTCTCTCCCTCTCTCTCTCTATCTCTCTTTTCTCTCTTCCTCCTTCTCATATGGATATTCACATGCGTGTAGCACAAGGGCATTAATGGATACGCACACACTAAATTGTATAAACAAAGTCAGGATTTACTGATCTGTCATAGGAGAGCCTTTGTTTTTGTATCTCTCCATCCTACAGCAGCCTTTATAAATAAACAGCAACATGGCAGGAAGCAAACCTCTCAGTTAGCTAGGCTGTGCCTTGGCTGGGCCCGAGATGAGACAGGAAGAGAGAGAAAGTGGAAATGTTAGTGTATGTTTGGGGGAGGCAAACCACTGTCTCTCCTTTTTTGCCTTCCAATCCCCATCCCTCTAACCACTCCACTGGGCCTTAGACGGAGTGGGAGAGGACAGACACATACATGTGTCTCTGATAGTGAACTGCGTGACCCTGTATTTGAGAAAACCTTACTACTTTTATCTGAGTGGTTGAAAGTGAGCCACAACGACTGTTGTTGAGTAATGTATCAAGGTCTGTGCATTCATTCTGAAGTGTTTTCCTCAATGTTTGAGCCAGAGCTTTGTTGTGTCTGTGTGGTCTGTCTGCAGGTGTACCTGAAGGCCCCTATGATCCTGAATGGAGTGTGTGTGATCTGGAAGGGCTGGATAGACCTGCAGCGCCTCGATGGGATGGGCTGTTTGGAGTTCGATGAGGAGAGAGCACAGGTACTGTATTATAACATTACATTACACCCGCTGGTCCCCAAGCACCACCAACACAAAACACACAACTAGATAGAACAATTGCATACAGTATATACACGTATTTACATCTCTAGACAAACTACTTTTGAGTTGCTTAACTAAAACTAAACTAAGCAGGTTGTGCCCCTACCCCTACATATACAGTGGCTTGCGAAAGTATTCACCCCCCTTGGCATTTTTCCTATTTTGTTGCCTTACAACCTGAAATTAAAATAGATTTTTGGGGGGGGTTGTATCATTTGATTTACACAACATGCCTACCACTTTGAAGATGCAAAATATGTTTTTTTGTGAAACAAACAAGAAATAAGACAAAAAAAACAGAACCTGAGCGTGCATAACTATTCACCCCCCCCCCCCCCCCAAAGTCAAAACTTTGTAGAGCCACCTTTTGCAGCAATTACAGCTGCAAGTCTCTTGGGGTATGTCTCTATAAGCTTGGCACATCTAGCCACTGGGATTTATGCCCATTCTTCAAGGCAAAACTGCTCCAGCTCCTTCAAGTTGGATGGGTTCCGCTGGTGTACAGCAATCTTTAAGTCATACCACAGATTCTCAATTGGATTGAGGTCTGGGCTTTGACTAGGCCATTCCAATACATTTAAATGTTTCCCCTTAAACCACTCAAGTGTTGCTTTAGCAGTATGCTTAGGGTCATTGTCCTGCTGGAAGGTGAACCTTCATCCCAGTCTCAAATCTGTGGAAGACTGAAACAGGTTTCCCTCCAGAATTTCCCTGTATTTAGCGCCATCCATCATTCCTTCAATTCTGACCAGTTTCCCAGTCCCTGCCGATGAAAAACATCCCCACAGCATGATGCTGCCACCACCATGCTTCACTGTGGGTGAAAAGTGGTCCTATGGACAGATACTCCAATCTCCGCTGTGGAGCTTTGCAGCTCCTTCAGGGTTATCTTTGGTATTTTTGTTGCCTCTCTGATTAATGCCCTCCTTGCCTGGTCCGTGAGTTTTGGCCCTCTCTTGGCAGGTTTGTTGTGGTGCCATATTCTTTCCATTTTTTATTATGGATTTAATGGTGCTCCGTGGGATGTTCAAAGTTTTGGATATTTTTTTATAACCCAACCCTGATCTGTACTTCTCCACTACTTTGTCCCTGACCTGTTTGGAGAGCTCCTTGGTCTTCATGGTGCCGCTTGCTTGGTGGTGCCCCTTGCTTAGTGGTGTTGCAGACTCTGGGGCCTTTCAGAACACTTTCAGAACAGGTGTATATATACGGAGATCATGTGACACTTAGATTGCACACAGGTGGACTTTATTTAACTAATTATGTGACTTCTGAAGGTAATTGGTTGCACCAGATCTTATTTAGGGGCTTCATAGCAAAGGGGGTGAATACATATGCACGCACACCTTTTCCGTTATTTATTTTTTTGACTTTTTTGAAACAAGTAATTTTTGTTATTTCACTTCACCAATTTGGACTATTTTGTGTATGTCCATTACATGAAATACAAATAGAAATCCATTTAATTACAGGTTGTAATGCAACAAAATAGGAAAAATGCCAAGGGGGATGAATACTTTTGCAAGGCACTGTACAAACAAAACACCCACTCACCAGTCCAAACAAACTGTGTGTCTCAGTGTGTCTCTCCCACTCTGTGTGTGTTCAGCATGAGGATGCCCTTGCGCAGGCAGCCTTTGAGGAGTCACGTAGGAGGACCCGGGACTTCGAGGACAGAGACCGCTCGCACCGAGAGGAACTGGAGGTGAGATGGGCTGGACAGGCTGACGGGCTAAGGATGGGGTGGTGGTGTCCCCCCTAGTCACATGATTAGTGCTAACGATAAGAAGTGTTGTTGGAATATGATGATTGGTTGTGTCCCCTATGTGTCTGTTACCATGAGAACTCGTATTGTGTGAATAACCCATTTAGTTTTTGATATTTACCATTAACACAAACATGAACTCATTGTGTGTTTGTCTGAGAGGTTGTGTGTGTGTGTTTTGTATTTTATCTTAAAGCATTTTTATGGTATGTAGGTTTAGTGCATGAAGAGTTTATTCATGATTAGAACACACAGATCCTAAATGCAACCCCTCTAAGATAAAAACCAAATTGTGTTTTTTTAGGACCCTGTGGCATCAAAAATCTGGGACTGATGGCATTCAAGGACCAGGGTCTGTCTTCTTTGCTTTTCAATGTCACTCTGTCATGCACTAAACCGTGTGTGTGATATATGTGTGTTGTTTGTGTGCATAGTGAGGTTTTTGTGAATCAACACGAGAGCATGTGCATGTATGTGAACAATTTGAAGTATCTGAGTCTGCCTGTTTTAGTGCCTGCATGTGCAGATAGAGAGAATGAGTGAGTGACAGAGAGAGAGAAAGAAAGTTACATATGAACTGTATCTGTTGAGTTAACACACTGTAATAGGTTTCTTCCTAGGTTTTGCCTTTCTAGGGAGTTTTTCCTAGCCACCGTGCTTCTACACCTGCATTACTAGCTGTTTGGGGTTTTAGGCTGGGTTTCTGTACAGCACTTCGAGATATTAGCTGATGTAAGAAGGGCTATATAAAATAAAATTGATTGATTGATAATGAATGCTTAGCGATAATGTGGGTTCCTTCCCTCTCATCCCCCATAAACTGTCTCAGGGTCAGTCATATGAATATGCTTTATGGACTTTTTAATGCATTTTATGATAGTGGGACGTGTGCAAGTCAGGACATCCTACCAGGGTATAAGCTGGAAGACTGGAAGACAGACCCCCCACACACACTTTCCCCCAGTGCCTAATGTAGAACAGACCTCCACACACACACCACCCACCCTCCCCTGCTGCCGGAGGAGTCCCTGCAAGGCCTGATGGGACATATCTGCCACAGCTTGGCAGCACATGATGAGGGAGGGAGGGAGGGAGATCTGAAGCAGGGCTTTCATGTTCACATCAAGTATTTCCTACCTCAGAAACATACAGTGGCTTGCGAACGTACACGTCCTGGTAATCCGTCTGGACCTGCGGCCTTGTGAATGTTGACCTGCTTAAAAGTCTTACTCACATCGGCTACGGAGAGCATGATCAGCTGATGCTCTCATGCATGCTTCAGTGTTGCTTGCCTCGAAGCGAGCATAGAAGTGATTTAGCTCATCTGGTAGGCTTGTGTCACTGGGCAGCTCGTGGCTGTGCTTCCCTTTGTAGTCTGTAATAGTTTGCAAGCCCTGGCACATCCGATGAACGTCGGAGCTGGTGTAGTACGATTCAATCTTAGTCCTGTTTTGACTCTTTGCCTGTTTGATGGTTCGTCGGAGGGCATAGCGGGATTTCTTATAAGAGTCCGGGTTAGAGTCCTGCTCCTTGAAGCGGCAGCTCTACCCTTTAGCTCAGTGCGGATGTTGCCTGTAATCCATGGCTTCTGGTTGGGGTATGTACGTACGGTCACTGTGGGGACGACGTCATCGATGCACTTATTGATGAAGAAAGTGACTGATGTGGTGTACTCCTCAATGCTATCTGAAGAATCCCGGAACATATTCCAGTCTGTGCTAGCAAAACAGTCCTGGAGCTTAGCATCTGCGTCATCTGACCACTTCCTTATTAACCAAGTCACTGGTGCCTCCTGCTTTAGCTTTTGCTTATAAGCAGGAATCAGGAGGATAGAATTATGGTCAGATTTGGCAAATGGAGGGCAAGGGAGAGCTTTGTACGTGTCTCTGTGTGTGGAGTAAAGGTGGTCTAGAGTTTTTTTTCCTCTGGTTGCAAATTTAACATGCTGGTAGAAATGAGGTAGAACGGATGTAAGTTTCCCTGCATTAAAGTCCCCTTTTGCACGGCACTATACCTTCCAGCTCCCTCAGGAAGAATCGTCTCTTTTCTTCTGAAAATCTATAAGGCAATGCTCTTTATGGAGATATGATGTATTGGTCAAATTATTAATTATTAATTATTATTATTTTCTTTACTGACATCGAGCCAGGAGGCGATATAGTGTGTGGAAGGTGTATGACATATACTGTATTCTAACGGAACACTTTCCATGTGTTTCATTCTCAAATACTCACGGTGGTGGAAACTTGAAACCCCTAATCATTTTCATCACATTTAAATTGGTTTTTATCCATCCAAGTTACAGTATGTTGAAATAGCAGAAAGTCATCTCATAAACTGCTGTGATCCAGAATTTTCTGATTGGACTGTAGCATTTAGCGATTTCTCTAATTAGTGAATCCCATTGCTCTGGTGTCCTCTCAGGGAGGGAGAAAGATGATATTGTTGGTTTTATTTTAGATGAAGAATTGCATTTGGACATCAGGACCCTGTTTTTATGTGATATGGGCTCCTGGCTCTTGAGTACATTCAGCCGTTGCATTTCTGTGGTCTGAATTTATACTCAGTCAACCATAACTCAAGGCCAACAGCACAATGACTGTCTGCCATCAGTGGTAGCTGGGAGGCCTCTTAAGGGTTTAGAAACCAGAAGTCACAGCTCTTCTCTAGCAGGGAGGTCAGTGTCAGCTCTTTAGTATGTCTAAGTACAGCATATAAGGTTAATTCCTCTGCTGTGTGGCCTGTACGTGTTTTGGTCATGAATTAATATGTATAATGAATATTGTCCAGGTTTGATGTTTTTCGTGTGTGTGTGTGTGTGTGTGTGTGTGTGTGTGTGTGTGTGTGTGTGTGTGTGTGTGTGTGTGTGTGTGTGTGTGTGTGTGTGTGTGTGTGTGTGTGTGTGTGTGCTCGGGCGTGTGTGCTCATGTGTGTAAGAGCGATTCAGGACAGGACAGTGATGGCCATCTAGATGATTGATGAATATAAGATGGATGAAGAATAAATTGTCCATTTTTCATTAGGCCGGGCCCCATTCTGCAGGTGGAGTTAGAGGATGAATGATGTGCTGGCAGTAAAAGTATTCATATAGCATTAGTATTGATTTTTATTAGGATCCCTGTCTGCCCTGCCTAATCTCAGCTCAATTGACTTGTGGTACAGGCTAGCGCTCTGCCGACTGGCTCGATGATCGATCTCTGTGCTTGTCCTCTCCTCTCCGGCCACCGCCCCCCCCTCCCCCTGGAACTACGATAGCACTCCACTCAGGGCTGAGGCTTACTGTAATGTTTATCCTCAAAATAATATTCCTTTGTCTGTAGAGTAGTTGCTGCACTTCATATAGTATATTATTATGTATGTAAAAGTTTGATCCTTCCTGATTTTGGTGTGTATTACTCCTTAACTCTGATTGTTTTGGAGGTTGGTCCAGTTGACATTGCATTGCGTGTGGCCTGAGACATAGTTTTTTCTTCAACCATGACCAAACCGTAACTGGTGTTTTTGGCCACAAAGGGACCTTTACATAGAATTTCTTTCCTCTGACTCAAGGACACCTCTGACGCCTTCCGTTTGTAATCTGGGTGAATATGGGTGGTAACTAAGGGAGAAGCGTTCGTGTGTGTGTGTGTTTGTGTGTGCGCATGCATATGTGTGTTGTTGCTGTTGTTGTTGTTGTCGAAATCACACTCCAACTACTGAGTAAAACTTTGATCGGCCATAAAATTGGCCATAAAATCATGTTAAGTTCATAAAAATCTTCTTAAATTATTTTGCCTTGCAAAAGTATTCATCCCCCTTGGCGTTTTTCCTATTTTGTTGCATTACAACCTGTAATTTAAATGGATTTCTATTTGGATTTCATGTAATGGACATACACAAAATAGTCCAAATTGGTGAAGTGAAATTTAAAAAATAACTTGTTTCAAAAAATTCTAAAAAATTAATAACGGAAAAGTGGCGCGTGCATATGTATTCACCCCCTTTGCTATGAAGCCCCTAAATAAGATCTGGTGCAACCAATTACCTTCAGAAGTCACATAATTAGTTAAATAAAGTCCACCTGTGTGCAATCTAAGTGTCACATGATCTCAGTATATATACACCTGTTCTGAAAGGCCCCAGAGTCTACAACACCACTAAGCAAGGGGCACCACCAAGCAAGCGGCACCATGAAGACCAAGTAGCTCTCCAAACAGGTCAGGGACAAAGTTGTGGAGAAGTACAGATCAGGGTTGGGTTATAAAAAAATATCCGAAACTTTAAACATCCCACGGAGCACCATTAAATCCATTATTAAAAAATGGAAAGAATATGGCACCACAACAAACCTGCCAAGAGAGGGCCGCCCACCAAAACTCACGGACCAGGCAAGGAGGGCATTAATCAGAGAGGCAACAAAGAGACCAAAGATAACCCTGAAGGAGCTGCAAAGCTCTACAGCAGAGATTGGAGTATCTGTCCATAGGACCACTTTAAGCCATACACTCCACTGAGATGGGCTTTACGGAAGAGTGGCCAGAAAAAAGCTATTGCTTAAAGGAAAAAATAAGCAAACACGTTTGGTGTTCGCCAAAAGGCATGTGTGAGACTCCCCAAACATATGGAAGAAGGTACTCTGGTCAGATGAGACTAAAATTGAGCTTTTTGGCCATCAAGAAAAATGCTATGTCTGGCGCAAACCCAACACCTCTCATCACCCCGAGAACACCATCCCCACAGTGAAGCATGATGGTGGCAGCATCATGCTGTGGGGATGTTTTTCATCGGCAGGGACTGGGAAACTGGTCAGAATTGTAGGGATGATGGATGGCGCTAAATACAGGGAAATTCTTGAGGGAAACCTTTCAGTCTTCCAGAGATTTGAGACTGGGACGGAGGTTCACCTTCCAGCAGGACAATAACCCTAAGCATACTGCTAAAGCAACACTCGAGTGGTTTAAGGGGAAACATTTAAATTGGAATGGCCTAGTCAAAGCCCAGACCTCAATCCAATTGAGAATCTGTGGTATGACTTAAAGATTGCTGTACACCAGCAGAACCCATCCAACTTGGAAGGAGCTGGAGCAGTTTTTCCTTGAAGAATGGGCAAAAATCCCAGTGGCTAGATGTGCCAAGCTTATAGAGACATACCCCAAGAGACTTGCAGCTGTAATTGCTGCAAAAGGTGGCTCTACAAAGTATTGACTTTGGGGGGGTGAATAGTTATCTACGCTCAAGTTTTCTTATTTTGTTGTCTTATTTCTTGTTTGTTTCACAAGAAAAAATATTTTGCATCTTCAAAGTGGTAGGCATGTTGTGTAAATCAAATGATACAAACCCCCCAAAAATCAATTTTTAATTCCAGGCCACAAAATAGGAAAAATGCCAAGGGGGGTGAATACTTTCGTGAGCCACTGTAACTATAGCCCTATTAATTGTTTTGAAGACACTCTATTTACGTTTATGATTCTGAAGTGGAAGAATGGATGAGCATCGGTGTCTCCTTTAGGATTAAAGTAGTAGACTGAACCAGGGTTAGAAGGAGCTATTATGGTGAGTCATTTGGATGACGACGACATGCCATTTCAGCTTAGAGACTTGTACCAGCGTCTGCTTTCTCCCTCTGTCTGCCTTGTCTGTCCGTCTGTCTCACAGATATCTATGTTGGGAGATATTTAGTCGTAGACACATAAACATATGTATCTGTGACAGGCAGACAAGTCATTTTTTATTTTTAAAGCGTGTTATGTAGAAGACTTCCCCGACGACTAATGACTGTCTGCTATTCGGCCCAAAAAAGAAAATCAATTTTTAGCCTCAGCTGGAAGCTCTCTGGTGCCCTCTGCTGAATATACTGTATGACATATACTGCACTCACTGATGCCCCATCTAAGGCCATTCTCAACACATAACACACATACTCATGATGATATATTAAATCTGTCCCCCCCCCCCCCCATCTCTCTCTCCCTATGCCAACAGCCCAGGCGACAGCAGGACCCCAGCCCTGTTACCAACATGGGCAACAACGCTGATGATCACAAGATGCGCTAGAGGCCAGAGAGACGTAGGGGGTGTGGTCAGAGTGACCTGTCCATCGTACAATGCCAGTCTCACACCATGTCACCAAGCTGTTAACTGGAGTGACCAAAGTCCACATTGCTGGGGATTTGGGGGTGGGTGGGGGTGGGGTGGGGTCCTTTTTAGTTTTAAGAAGGGACTGGGTGAGGTGGGTGTCCATTTGTAAGTGTGGTGTAAGGGGATTCGACCCAAACATCCTTGTCTTCTGGGGGGTTTTGCACTATCTGATACATTCAGTTTAGTACCCACATTGCCTTCTGTATGCATGGAGCGCCTACCTACCTATGTTTTATTTTGTCCCCCTATGCAAGCTATTTCGGCAGCACTTTCTTTTACAATGCTTTATAAATAGGAAATGACTGGGTGATTAAATGGAACACATTGGTTCTTTAATAATTCTTCCTAAATTGATATATTTCTAAAAATTCCCAGAAAGTTTGTTTCAAATCAAGTAGCACCTGAGGAGCACTGAGCATAAATTAATTTCACGCTAAATTCTAAGCTTTTGATAATTACTTATTAAAGCGGCAATCAGCAGTTGAAACAATAACAAAGCGTACACCCTGCCCCTGTTTCGGTAAAAAGCTGAATGTAACCACTCTCAAATTCATAGAAATAATTTATAAGTTATATTCTTCAAGAATCAATGGGTATATATCATTAATTTACACTACATGACCAAAAGTATGTGGACACCTGCTCATCGAACATCTCATTCCAAAATCATGGGCATTAATATGGAGTTGGTCCCCCCTTTGCTGCTATAACAGCCTCCACTCTTCTGGGAAGGCTTTCCACTAGATGTTGGAACATTGCTGCGGGGACTTGCTTCCATTCAGCCACAAAAGCATTAGTGAGGTCGGGCACTGATGTTGGGTGATAAGGCCTGGCTCGCAGTTGGCGTTCCAATTCATCCCAAATGTGTTCGATGGGGTTGAGGTCAGGGCTCTTTGCAGGCCAGTCAAGTTATTCCACACCAATCTTGACAAACCATTTCTGTATGGACCTCGCTTCGTGCACGGGGGCATTGTCATGCTGAAACAGAAAAGGGCCTTCCCCAAAATGTTGCCACAAAGTTGGAAGCACAGAATCGTCTAGAATGTCATTGTATGCTGTAGCGTTAAGATTTCCCTTCACTGGAACTAAGGGGCCTAGCCCGAACCATGAAAACTGCCCCAGACCATTATTCCTCCTTCACCAAACTTTACAGTTGGCACTATGCATTCGGGCAGGTAGCGTTCTCCTGGCATCCGCCAAACCCAGATTTGTCCGTCGGACTGCCAGATGGTGAAGCGTGATTCATCACTCCAGAGAACGCGTTTCCAATGTGAGATTGTGTGGCCTACCACTTCGCGGCTGAGCCGTTGTTGCTCCTAGACGTTTCCACTTCACAATAACAGCACTTACAGTTGACCCGGGCAGCTCTAGCAGGGCAGAATTTTATGAACTGACTTGTTGGGAAGGTGGCATCCTATGAACATGCCACGTTGAAAGTCACTGCGCTCTTCAGCTCCATTCTACTGCCAATGTTTGTCTATGGAGATTGCATGGCCTGTGTTCTCGATTTTATACACCTGTCAGCAACAGGTGTGGCTGAAATAGCCAAATCCACTAATTTGAAGGGGTGTCCACATACTTTTGGCCATGCAGTTTATATGTCCAAAAATTGATGTAGTAACTGTAGTTTGGAAATAGGCCTACACTCTTAGAAAAAAGGGTTCCAAAAGGGTTCTTCGGCTGTCCCCGTAGGATAACCTTTTTTGGTTACAAGTAGAAGAACCCTTTTTGGTTCTAGGTAGAACCCTTTTGGTTTCCATGTAGAACCCTTTCCACAGAGGGTTCTACATGGAAACCAAAAGGGTTCTACCTGGAACCAAAAGGGTTCAACCTAGTACCAGAAAGGGTTCTACAAAGGGTTCTCCTATGGGGACAGCCGAAAGATCCGTTTTAGGTTCTAGATAGCACCTTTTTTTCTAAGAGTGTACCATCAAGTACAAATAGTTACCAATCAATCACCTATTTATTTTGTATTTACAAAGGACTATAAAAGATTGCCTAACAGCTAGAATTTATCCTATTATAGCACTATTTTAATGAAATTGTATTTTTTATTATTTTATTCATGTTTTGTGTGAAAGTCATGATGTTTACTTTTTTATTTCTTTTCTCTATATATAAATACTGTATTTGTATGTCTTTATGCTATCGAATGGGATATTAGTAAAATATATAAAGTTGTGTTCTAGAAAAGTTACTTTTACAAAGAGGCTGCTGATTTGCTGGATGAGGAAGGGTATCATCCTCAGCGCGTTCTGTCTTCCTGTCTCCTCCTTCATGTTAGCAGACTATTTTAACAGTCTTTGAACATGACTCTAGCAGCATAGAGCGCAGAATGAGGTCAGTGTCTCTGAGCTCGCTCTTTGGAAGTTGAGGCAAAGAGGCTTTCTCCTCTGCATTGTTTTATTTTTTATTATTCTCTTTATTTCACATTTCATCCAGATCAGGGTTTGTAACGTCTAAGCAGTAACTTTCTCACAATGTTGATCCATTGCGGCTTCATTCCAGAGGTTTGTCGCACATTTTGATCCAGCTCTGGGATTTATCTCCCTGAAAATTATGCAAGGGCACAGCAACATTATCTCACTAACATACCCTCCAGTTTTGTTTGGTATGTTTCAAGGTAATCTGAATATCCTTGAGTTTGATCAACTATTGTGCTGTTGTCAGTGTTTCTTCCTCTTCCTCTACAGGAATACAGTTTTAACAGTTTATTCATATAAAGTTGTCTGTACTGGGGATTAGAGAAAGCAACATCTTTAAAGAGATTGAAGACTCTATTGCAATAAATAATGTGTGTAAACCCTGGATGACTAACATGGGGTGTTGTATTAAAGCCACCGTGCAGCTATCTTGGTAATCCTTCTCCGTCGTAAAAGATTTTGGAAGCTATAGAAATGCATTTATACATTCGTTTTTGACACATGTATTCTATTACAGACACATTAATGAATACTTTTAAATTATATGTGAGCTAAACATTAAAAAAGGATATAATATATAAAAACATTTTCCTTTAAGTATTTTTTTAAAGAGTACTAATGTTACTTTACCCACTACAACAACAAAAATACTTAAATACATACAGTACATTAAAATATATATATACTGTAGAATCATTCATTACTATAGATGCGGTTAAGAGGTCAATCAAACTTGACCAAAACAGTGGAATTGCCATGGAAACGTGTGGGGGAAAGGGCCATGGGGGAAAGAAACCGAGTCTCCTCATTGGTCCCCAGCAAAATTACCCTACATTTAGGTTATTGTTTATATGTGTATTTCACACTATGTTGAGGTAAAATCGGAGTATAATGCTTGCATGGATGTCAACCCCAACACATGTTCATGTCATCGTTACCAATCAATTGCATTACAGTTAAAAACTAATTTGACTACCACCAATGATTTCTGTATGCTAGCTATGCTAACCAGCTTATACGAACGGGAGTCAGCATTTAGCAGCCACTTCTTCTAAACCTGAAAAAGTACAACTTCTGTAGACAAATATATCTTTGCGCCAATCTGGTATATGGAACGTCTGCATTCCATTGACTCCTTTACCACATCTATGGAGGACTGCTCCTACTGGGGAGTGCCAATATGGCCGACCGGTGGCTTCAAAGCCTCTCAATGGCCAATACATAGCATCAGCAATCCAGGGTTTATATACTGGAGACCATTGATTGCAATCCAGCACTGTTTCAACCAGTCATGAAATATTAGGATGAAATAGGCCAAGAGTCAGTCAGGAGATTTTTTCCACAAAATAAGTAAGATAAATCACAGAATTATAGGCAGTATGTTGTTCAGTTTGAACAGAGATGGACTGTACAGTCATGGGCTCAATAAACTGTACATGAAATTAAAGGAGAATGCTAAGGTCAAGTCTAGCAGCAGTGATGAACCTGTGGTTTTCTTCCATTCATTTCTAATGCATCAGCTCAGTATTTTATTCAAAGTTAATTTGCTTTATTTTGAATAAATAGGAAAGGTGGAGGAAGTAGCCTATGTTTTGTAAAGGGACAAGCGTTAGACAGCAAGTTGTAAGATGTGGCTGTGCAGGTCAGAAATAATGGGGTTTAGGTGGACAGAGGGACGGGCGGTGATTTGTCAGAATTTGCTATTGAAGCAACTTCTAATTTCATACTGCATGTGATTGTATTTCCTTGGGTTAGGTTCTTAGGTTTTTATCCTAAATACTTTTATATCACATATTTGCATAATGTTTCACATCCCACTAATGATGCAGTTGTTTTGCATTTCCATCTCATAAAAACAATGTGTATGGCCTTAGCTTGTTGCTTTAGTGTATCAAAGATTTACTCAGTGTGTCATCTCAAGGTACCATACCAATGTGGGTAGCAGGAACAAACATGTTTACGCTATCTTCCATAGATCATTGTGATGTTTATACAATGTGTACAGTATTTCACAATATTCTGGGAGCTCTATTTCAAGTGGTTTGTTTGATATCTACTCCAGTGTATAGATTACCTGATAAAAGTGTCAGTGCACAAAACATATTGGACACTCAGAAACTAACTGGCCTACATCCAGCTACAACCAAAAACAAATAGAAATCTTGGGTATTTATTACTTCACGATTTTGTGAACCTTTAGTTCATTGAAATGTTGGTTACAGATGTATGATCTTAATTTGAGCCAGTTTGCTACAGCAGGAAAAGAGTCCTGCAGCAACAGTACATGTGAATTACTATGTGGATTTTAATTAATAGACATTTTCGTAGGGGTTGATAAATGTTTCTTAAGGGAAAATCAAGTCTGAAATGTCAAAGTGGAAAAACACCTCAAATACACTAGAAGTTTTAAATGTCCTGCATTGCAGGAAAGTTATCCTGCAACAGGGGTATCAAATTAAGATTCTACATCTGTAGATAGTATGATCTGTGTGC